ACACAGTGATTGAAAACAAAGAAATAATGATCTGTTACTACAGATCAAGTCCAACAAGAAGAGGATAACACAATTGGCATTGACAAATTCGCTATTAGTCAATTGCAAAAGGCGGCCTTATTAGGAACTGCTTCCATCCTGCGACGATATCTGTAATACCATCAAACATCCACATCTGCCTATCCCAGGTCCTGGGTAAGGACTCGATAGCTAGACAAAATGCCAAATCCAGTCTGAACATCTGGCTGACTGTGTGATGATCGATAATAATAATAATAGGGACTAATTCTGGCTGCACAATACCAAGCCTTAAGGACAAATGCATACAAAGTCAAAATTGAGAAGACAGCAACAGACAGTAAGTGCCGCCTATGCAAAGAATCTGAAGAAACAGTGGACCACCTGGTAAGCTGTTGCAAGAAGATTGCACAGACTGACTACAAGCAGCGGCATGACAAAGTAGCAACAATGGTGCATTGGAAGATCTGCAAAAAATATCATTTGCCTGTAAGCAAAAACTGGTGGGATCATAAAATAGAGAAAGTCCTAGAAAATGATAAAATTAAACTGCTCTGGGACTTCAGAATTCAAACAGACAAGCACCTGCACCATAACACCCCAGACTTAACAATTGTCGATAAGAAAGACAAAAAAGTCTGGATAGTGGACGTGGCAGTGCCTGGAGACAGCAGAATAGAAGAGAAAGAACTGGAGAACATAACAAAATACAAAGACTAGAAATAGAAATAGAAAGACTGTGGCAAAAGAAAGCAAGGGTAGTACCAATAGTCATAGGCTCCTTGGGTGCAATCCCAAAACAACTGGAGCACCACTTGAACACCATTGGCATTGACAAATTCGCTACTAATCAATTGCAAAAGGCGGCCTTACTAGGAACTGCTTCCATCCTGTGACGATATCTGTAATACCATCAAACATTCCCATCTGCCTATCCCAGGACCTGGGTAAGGACTCAATAGGTAGACAAAATGCCAAATCCAGTCTGAACATCTGGCTGACTGTGCGATGATCAATAATAATAATAATAATAATAATAATAATGATGATGATGATGATGGAAGGGACCTTGGAGGTCATCAAGTCCAACCCTCTACTCAGGCAGGTAACCCTATACCATTTTGGGAGAAATTACATATTCATCTTAAGCTGTCTTTTCTTTGGGCCTCTTTGAGCAGTCACTCTGAGACTAGCCTATGAACAATTTTTATTTTGATAGGACAAGTAAATATGTGGCTAAATTCAATATGTGGCTAAAGGAGTGGTGTAAAGGGGAAGGCTTCGGATATATTAGTCACGATGTCAGTAGCTGGTCCAATCAAAAGATGTACAAAAGAGATGGTTTGCATCCATCAAAAAAAGGGACTGAGTTACTCGGCTATAAATTCACAGATTTTCTGGAGGGAAATTTAAACTAAACAGCGGGGACAGGGAGTTAAGTGATACGGAACAACCCTGTCCCCGGCAATTTAAAAACTATAGGGCTATCAGTCCATGTAGCACAGATGTGTGTGTGGACAAGAATACCAACCTTGCTACCAATCACAATGAAGCCTCTAATAGCGAGTGCCATATAAAGTGCACTAACCAAATAGGTGGTAAGACAATAGGGGAACTCAGGCACCACACAGGTTATGTAGAAAGGAAAAACAGGGCCACCCACAAAGGACTCAAATGTTTATACACCAATGCACAAAGTATGAACAGCAAACAGGGTGAACTAGAAATTCAGGTTAATGAGGGCAGATACGATATTGTTGCCAGTTACGGAAACATGGTGGGATGAAACTCACACATGGAACACACAGCTAGAGGGATTTAAATTATTTAAAAGAAACAGACCAAATAAAAGAGGAGGTGGAGTTGCTCTATATATAAGAAATAACTACATCTCCACAGAAATAGAGTACAACAATGATAAAAACTGTCTTGAATGCATTTGGGTCAATATAAAAGGGGGGGAAATGACATTGCCATAGGTGTATACTACAGACCACCCAACCAAACAGAGGAAATAGATGAACTTTTTGCTAGTCAGCTAACTAAGGTATGTAGGAAGCAAATCACAATAGTAATGGGGGACTTTAACTACCCTGACATCAACTGGGAGACAAACTCTACACCAAGTGGAAGATCAAACAGATTCCTGACAAACCTAGCAGACAACTTTGTCTCCCAAAAAGTAGAGAAGGGAACTAGGGGATTAGCATTTGGATCTAATTCTCACTACAGAGATGAAATGATAGAAGGTCGTTGAAGCCATAGGAACCGGAGGAAAGTGATATGCAATATAAGGAATTCACAAGCATTATAGAAGCACAAAAACCAATAGAACACAGTCAAACTAGAGTCGTGGACTTCAAGAGAGCTAATTTCAATAAACTTAGAGAGGGCTTGGGAAGGATTCCATGGATGAGAATCCTCAAGGGGAAAACAACTCAAGAAGCTTGGAAAATTTTGAAAAATGAGATAATAAAAGCACAGTCTAGCACAATACCAACAAAGAGGAAAAATAACAGCTCTCAAAAGAAAACAGCATGGCTGCATAAAGAACTCTCTGACAAATTGAAAGATAAAAAGGACAAGTACAGAAAGTGGAAAGAGGGGAACATAACTAAGTCAGAATATCAGCAAATAGCCCGAGTCTGCAAAGATGAAGTGAAGAAAGCCAAGGCTCAAAATGAACTAAGGCTTGCGACCAAAGTCAAAAATAACAAAAAAAGCTTCTTTCAACATGTAAAAAACAAGAAAAAAGTGAAGGAAATGATTGGTCCATTAGTGGGTGGAAGTGGCAAGAAGGTGACAAGCAACAGGGAGAAAGCAGAACTATTTAACTCATTTTTGCATCTGTCTTTACACAAAGGGAAAAAACAGACCAACCTATCAAAAATAGTGCCATAAAAAACAAAATAGAAACACAAGTTAAGATAGGCAAGAAAATGGTTAGGGAGCACCTGTCCAGCCTAGATGAGTTCAAATCGCCAGGACCAGATGGATTACACCCAGAGTTCTCAAGGAACTGGCAGATGTGATATCGGAGCCACTGAACTATATTTTTCAAAGATCCTGGAACACAGGGGAACTACCAGAGGACTGGAAAAGAGCTGATGTAGTTCCATCCTCAAAAAAGGAAAAAAAATGGATCCAGGAAATTACAGACCTATCAGCCTGACCTCAATACCTGGGAAGATCCTGGAAAAGATAATCAAACAACGAATCAAACGAACACCTAGAGGCAAACAAAGTCATTACTAAAAGCCAACATGGGTTTGTCAAAAATAGATCATGCCAGACAAATCTTATTGCATTCTTTGACCAAGTGACAAAATTAGTGGATCAGAGGAATGCTGTGGACATAATTTACTTGGACTTCAGTAAGGCATTTGATAAAGTAGATCACAACCTACTACTTGACAAGATAGAAAAATGTGGGTAGACAGAACCACCACCAGATGGATCCGTAGCTGGCTGACCGGCCGTACTCAGCGAGTGGTCCTCAATGGAACTGCATCTATATGGAGGGAAGTGTGTAGTGGGGTGCCCCAGGGCTCTGTTCTGGGCCCAGTACTCTTCAACATCTTCATCAACGATTTGGATGAAGGGATAGATGGGGAACTCATCAAATTTGCAGATGACACCAAGCTGGCAGGAATAGCCAACACTCCAGAAGATAGGCTTCAGGTACAGAAGGATCTGGACAGACTTGAACACTGGGCACTAACTAACAAAATGAAATTCAATGGTGAAAAAAGCAAGGTTCTACATTTAGGCAAGAAAAACCAAATGCACAAGTACAGCATAGGTGGCACCATGCTCAATAGTAGTAACTGTGAGAGGGACCTCGGAGTCCTAGTAGACAATCACTTAAATATGAGCCAGCAGTGTGCTGCAGCTGCCAAAAAGGCCAACACAGTGCTAGGCTGCATTAACAGAGGGATAGATCACGTGAAGTATTAATACCACTCTTCAATGCCTTGGTAAGGCCACACTTGGAATACTGCATAAGTTTTGGTCACCACGATAAAAAAAAGATGTTGAGACTCTAGAAGAGTACAGAGAAGAGCAACAAAGATGATTAGGGGACTGGAGGCTAAACATATAAGGAACGTTGCTAGAGAATTGGGTATGTCTTTTAACGAAGAAAGCAAGGGGGGACATGATAGCAGTATTCCAATATCTCAGGGGCTGCCATAAAGAAGAGGGAATTAAGCTATTTTCCAAAGCACCTGAAGGCAGGACAAGAAGCAACGGGTGGAAACTAATCAAGGAGAGAAGCAACCTAGAACTAAGGAGAAACTTCCTGACAGTGAGAACAATTAATCAGTGGAACAGCTTGCCTCCAGAAGCAGTAAATGCTCCAACACTGGAAGTTTTTAAGAAGAGACTGGACAGCCATTTGTCCGAAATGGTGTAGGGTTTTCTGCCCGAGCAGGGGGTTGGACTAGATGACCTCCAAGGTCCCTTCCAACTTTACTATTATTATTATTATTATAAGTAGAAATAGGAAGGACTACACATGCTGCTGTAAGCTCCTCAATGAAAATTTAGGAGACAGAATTTAAATTTAATCAATCAACCAATGCAAACGCGTGTGCATGAGATCAGATTCCATAAAATAATTCATTGCATTAATTTCAGAAAAATGAAATGCGTACAAAATGAGGCAGAGTTTCACCAAATGATTTCTAGAGCATTGGGATGACACAAACAAACTGCAAATATTTCTGACCAATCTTTGTGATTGCAAATTGAAAACAGGGGTTGTTTTAAACTTTCAATTTATCTCTCTAAACAGTCTTACATTAAGCAGCTTTTTCCTTGCATCCTTGTCTGTTTAACAACACAATAAAATAAAGGTTAGAACAATACATATGTTTAGTTATCATGGGTCAACTGCTCTTTTATCCTGTAGCATATGCAAATATGTTGGCAGTTTACTCTACAGCCTTGGCATATAGTTTCTCTGCCCCAGTTAGCATAAGCTGTTGTGCCTCTGATTCTTTTATCACTCTACAGCAGAGCAAAAATAGGGTAAAAAATGATTTGGTTTCTCCTCTGTTTCTCCATTCTCCAAGGTAATTTATGTTTGTTCAGCAGGAATGATGCATGATAACTTTGAATCTTCCTAAAACATTTTTTTACATAAATTATTTGTTCCAGGGGTGCAATTGATCAAATTGGAGGAGTCTGGAGGGGCTGTGAGAAGACCTGGAGAATCGCTCCATCTCTCCTGCCAAGCCTCTGGATTCACCTTCAGCAACTACTACATGGAGTGGGTGAGACAGGCTCCAGGGAAAGGACTGGAATGGGTGGCCCGCATAAGTACAGGATCATCTAGCACTTACTATCCAAATAATGTGAAGGGACGCTTCATCATCTCCAGAGATGATTCCAATAGTCTGTTGTATTTGCAAATGAACAACCTCAAGCCAGAAGACACAGCAATTTATTACTGTGCAAGAGACACAGAGAAAGGAAGTGAATCTGAAGCCAAGCAAAAACTTTTTTCAGTTCCAGGAAATTCTGTGCTCTGCTACATTTCTTGGGTCTTAAAAAGATAACATAAGATAACATAACATAAGCTTAAGAGAGGGCTGTAAAGCATTACGAAGCAGTATATAAGGCCTAAGTGCTAGTGCTATTGGCATTCAGGTTCTATGAATATAACTGTCAGGGGCCTCATTTTGCTATATTGTTTGTAAAACCAGATTCATTTCTATAGCATCCATGATCTTGCCATAAATTATTCTGTTCAATTGGCTATTAACTAGATACTCTGCTTAGTGATTGTAATAAAATAAGGAAGAAAGATCTTGACATCAAAAGTCTGAATACCAGGGTCATAGATTTCAGTGAAAACAAATTATAACTTTATCAGAATTTCCTTCCTTCCTTCCTTCCTTCCTTCCTTCCTTCCTTCCTTCCTTCCTTCCTTCCTTCCTTCCCTCCTTCCATTTGTTTTCTGTTATTCAGTTGAGGCTCCAATAAAATTATGTAGCATTTAGAGAAAAAGCTGCATCTCAGTAATGCATTCTTTTCCATAAGATAGAGAAGACTGCATTACTGGTTACATAAGATAGAGAAGACTCCTGCAAGACCCTTGGCAAGGAGAGAAGGGAAAAAAGAGGCATAAGAAATCTCTTCCCCAAGCCATTCATTCTTATTAATCCTTTGCTCAGTTATTTTCTCATATTTTTAGAGCCCCTCTGTTTTAATGTACCATATATGCCGGTGTATTAGGCGACCTGGCGTATAAGATGACCCCCGTCTTTATAGCCGGACCGCATTCCTAGAACGTCGTCTTATACGCTGGAAAGTACCAGTATTTCCGGCGTATAAGACGACTCGGCGTATAAGACGACCCCCGTCTTTGGCACCGATTTCAGTGCTCGCGGAAGTCGTCTTAGACGCCGGCATTTACGGTACATAATTTTATTATATCCCATCACCCTGCCAACAAAAGTGCGTATAGTCAAGGCTATGGTTTTCCCAGTTGCAATGTATGGCTGTGAAAGTTGGACCATAAGAAAGGCTAAGCACAAAAGAATTCAGGCCTTTGAACTATGGTGCTGGAGAAGACTCCTGCGAGTCACTTGGACTGCAAGGTGTTCAAACTGGTCAGTCCTAGAAGAGATCAACACCGACTGCTCTTTAGAAGGCCACATCCTGAAGCTGAGATTCAAATACTTTGGCCACCTAATGAGAAGGAAGGACTCACTGGAGAAGAACCTGATGCTGGGAAAGATTGAGTGCAATAGAAGAAGGGGACGACGGAGAATGAGATGGCTGGATGGAGTCATTGAAGCAGTAGACATGAGCTTAAATGGACTCCAGAAAATGGTAGAGGACAGGAAGGCCTGGAGGAACATTGTCCATGGGTTCATGATGGGTCGGACATGACTTCACAACTAACAACAACAACAAGATGGAGAAGACCTCCATAGCCACTATGATTTTTTTCTTGGTACTTAGGTATACTTAGGTATACTTCTAATATACTTACAAAGAAAACTAACTGCCAAATGCCAACATTCTGAAGGAGATGAACCTGGCTTCATCAAAGCTATCAGGTAGATTATGATTCTAGAAAGCCACAATGGAGCTGGCAAATGAAAGAAGGACCATATAGTCAAGGACACCATAAAATATAAAAAAAATGGAATTGAAGAATTCTTCATGGAATTGAAGAATGATTTATTTAGCTGTTGAGTACATGTCTAACTCAGGGAATGGGGATAACATTGACAACCATGCTGTAAACAAGCTTGCTTGAAAAGATCAGGAAAGAATAGTAGAGTTAAGTTTTCTATTTTCCCATGCACTTCCTCATATTGGAACCTGGCTTTCTGAACACAAGAAATTAAAAAGAAGTTTTTAGATTTGCTTATTTGCTTCTGAAAGACAGTGAGCACCTGAGAGAGATGTGCAAGTACTATAATTAGAAAGGTTCCACTGGGTATTAGTATTGTGATGCTAACTTAGTGTTATTATTCCCCCCACTCCAGATCTGCTCTGAAATCACCTCTATTCCTTCATGGCCAACAAGCAAGAATAAGATTTCAGAATATGTTCTTGAATGACCCCAACATCTACTCTTCTTTCTTCCTCTCCATCTTCCCCTCTGTCACACATTCCTTCTATTTTACAAGCTGCCACCTGTCTTTTCATGATTTATTATTACTCAATAAACATCTGAAGAACCAATCAAAAATGATTTATAATGATAATGAAATGATACACTTGGTGACAAGAGATAATTACAGGGTTAAAAAATGTATTTTCTTTATCAAACTGGGTGCTTGATGGTTATAAACTCTTCTGTGGATGCCATTTAATGTTACTGGGTTAGGAATAGTTTCTCCATTTTAACTATTAAGAATGTCATCTCTTTATTGTGTAGCTGTGAATCAAATCTGTACAACATATTTAATATTTATGAGCTGATTTTCTAATAATTCTCTTGACATTCATGATGCTGACTTTAGTTAGATTGCAGCCCATGAGCAGAATAACAGAGTTGAAAGGGACCTGGGAGGACTTCTAGTCCAACCTGCTACTCAATCAGGTTGATCACAGGAGAATCTTCACTTAAGAAGATCCCTCTCTGTCTAGTATCATAATTCAATTTAAAAGAGTTTCTACAGCATATTAACTAGTTAAAATGAAGTGTCCTGCAACAAAACCTCTCCCTGTTCCTCATGAGAGGTATCAATCAGGTGATATTTTCATTGGGGGGATGCTCTCTCAGATATTGTATCTTTTAAGTGAAGTTAACTACATGGAACATCCCTTGCAGGAGATAAGTTTTGATCTTCCAGTGTAAGTTTTATTTCCAATTCAACATTTGTAATATAAAAATGGGTTTCAGCCACAGTTTATTCACAGTGTTGGAGGAATTACAATGATTAGATGGTAGTGATATAAAAGATACTCATAATTAACTCTGTAGATGGCATAGCTAGTAAGTTCATGGAGCTCCCATTCACAGTACGAAGGAAATTGCTTAGAAAGAGGACTCTGTTTACATCCTTTCCAGAATTCTGATTGTGTAATATTAGTTTTTGTATATAGTCATGGTTTAGATATCTGACCAAATTGGTTTATTATTCTGCTTCAAGCCTTTTCTAAGAAGCATATTACAATAAATGCAACATAGATTACACCACCACATGAATGTACAAGAAGGTGAATTTCAGAGGTAGATACAAATGTAAGGCATACAATTGGGCAGAGTGTCTGTATTTTATTTTAGAATGGAAATATATAGAGGGATTGAAAGAGAGTTCAATAAAACAAGCATTTGTTTTGCACAGTACAAAGGTGAAAATTACTAAAACTGCAATATATTTCTCTGTTGACAGCATGATCACCAAGTTCTACCAGCACCTGCTGGCCTTGGTTTTTTGTGTAAATGAGATCAATAAGGATACTCACCTTTTGCCCAACATCACCCTTGGATTCCATATTTATGACAGCTATTATGATGCAAGGATGGTCTATCGCAATATCTTGGATCTGCTCTCAAAAGTTGACCAGTTTGTTCCCAACTTCCAATGTGGGATGGAGAAAAATCTCATTGCTGTCATTGGGGGGATTGGCTACGATGTTTCCATGGACATGGCAGTTATCTTAAGCCTCTACAAAATTCCACAGGTAAAACATTCCAGTAAAGGAGAATATTTGTAGTTGAGGGTTGAAATAAGGCATCCTTGGTGCTCTCTGAGCTTGGTTGTTTTCTTGCAGAGGTTTTGTTACCCAAACTAGGTAAAATCATCAGTGCTAGTGATGTTGGTAGTTAGCTTGGGTAATGAAACCTCTGCAAGAAAACAACCAAGCTCCAGAAAGCACTAAAAAAAATCAGAGACAATTGGACATTTCTTAAACCCGCTATTTCCTCTTTTTCTTGGCATTCCCAAACTTGTTGTGGCAGAATTAGCAGCACATATCTGAATGAAAAATGAATTATTTACTACCCTCATATCTAAAGACATGAGTGGTCATTTTATTTCCTTTTGCTAACATTTTTTTTGTAAAAAAAATATTTTTAATTTTACATTACATTCATAAAAAATACTTCAGATAAAGAGTAAAATAAATTTATACACACAACTTTCGGTATTGCTCACCCATTTCCCCCCAAACCTTTTGCTAACATTTTAAAGACTATGCAGTGTGTAACATAACAGGCTGGCCAACTGCTTTATCTCTTGTCTTCTAGAGCTAGGCAGCAATCAAGCACAAAATGGTTGAGTGAATCCCTCTTTTTCTGTTGATACTTCTCCATGCTCTCACTTTAGTACTTATGTGACTATCCCAGTCAATTTCATGTCTTCCCTTCAGCTTTATTTACAATGAATTCTCTTTGGCCCTTCAACTGCACTAGAGGAGTCCAAAAATACATTTTTCATCTCCTCTGCTCAGGGTATCTGCATCAGAAATGTGTCCCTTATACAGCCTGACAGAAATAATAAGAGGGTATTTTATGAGTCTCTGGGATTATCTTAGTAGAGCTTTGTCTTCTATATTAATATAGTCAATTTTTGAACAATGGGCAGGCAAGTGACTGATTTTGGGGAAAATATGTAGACTGTCAAAAATAAGAAGCTCATTTTTCTTGAGCTCACATTGCTTCTGTGAAAAGAAGGTCATTAGAGGTTTTTAAAAAGAGATTGGACAACCATTTGTGAGAAATGGTATAGGGTTTTCTGCCTCAGGAGGAGAATTGGACTAGAAGATCTCAAAGGCCAAACCAGCTATTCCATTATTCTGTTACCTGCATATTTCTCCCAAATCTTCAAGAAACTGAACTGGAAAGGAGAAAAATATATATTCCGCATCTTAGTGATACAGAGAAAAGAATCCCATATACTGTTTAGATCAATAAGCATTGTACAAATATTAAATTAAATTAAATTAAATTAAATTAAAATACTCATGGAAAGAGATCTAATATGATTAAAATGTGTTTGAATATTAGTAGTTCGGGATGGTAGTTGGACTGTTGGTTTGATATACGAGCTTGAGGATTTGGTTGCAAACGTTTCATCTCCATTAGGGAGGCGGGTATCTTCAGTGCACTTTGAATTGTGCTGCACTGAAGATGTCCACCTCCTCCCGAATGGAGATAACATGTTTGCAGCCAAAGTGCCATACTCAGAGATCAAATCAAAAGTCCAGAGATCTAATATATTATGTATTATGACAAATTAAATCATACTGCTTATATGAGGGGAGCATGTAGAGATCATTATGTTAATTTCCTAAGGTCAGTGAAGTATATAAATATTCATTTATAAAGGTATTTCAAATGATGTTGGTAATGTAAATGTAAAGAAGGGACTTTTTATCATTTATGGTGGACATGTGATAAGGCAAAGAAATATTGCCTTATTCATATATTAATGCAGAAAATTCTTAAAGCGAACATAAAGATTCAACCAGAAACTTTCCTTCTGGGTCTAATGGAAAGAGAACTGGGAAAAAAATTGGAACTCTGATTTTATACATGGTGACAGCAGCAAGATTGCTCTATGCACAAAAGTGAAAGGATGCTTTGATTCCCACCGTGGACAATGGTAAAAAAAGCTAATGGAATTAGCAGAGTTGGCCAAATTTTTTGTGTTGACTTTCTTGCATAATTTTATTTATTTGCTTTTTTGTAGATTACATATGGCTCTTTTGTCCAGAAAAGAAGTATAAAACTCCTTCCTTTTACCGCATTGTCCCTAATGAAGCCCATCAAGGTTTGGGGATTATCCATGTGTTACAACATTTTGGATGGACTTGGGTTGGCCTCTTCATTGTAGATGATAACAGTGGGACACTTTTCCTACAAAGCTTGCAGTCCTTGTTTTCCAAGAATGGAATCTGTTCAGACTTCATTGAAAGAACTCCAAAACAAGCTTATATTTCCAACTATGAATATACATGGGAAACAGCTGAAAAATATAATCTACATATGGTGCAAGGAAAAGTCAAAGTCTTTATTGTTTATGGAGAAACAAGTTCATTTATTTGGTTGACCTTAATGGTAGAAACAGTCAGTAGTCTACCCGAAGAACTTACTCCTGGTGGGAAGGTGTGGATCATGACAGCTCAGATTGATTTTGCATTAATGAGCTTCCAGAAAGGATGGCGTTTGCAGAAATTCAGAGGAGCCATTTCTCTGACAGTTCAGTCCAATGAAGTTCAGGGGTTCCATACATTTCTTCAGGGGCTCCAGCCATTTGGGACAAGAGAAGATACTTTTCTCAAGGAGTTTTGGGAACAATCATTTGGGTGTCTTTTCACAAATTCCACTGGGACATTAACGGTCAATAAGATATGCACTGGAGAGGAAAAGATAGGGAGTCTTCCTGGCTCTTTTTTTGAAATGCCCATGGCTGCTCATAGTTACAGTATTTATAATGCCATGTACGCAGCAGCACATGCTTTACATAAAATCTATTCATCTCAATCGAAAAGGAAAGCAAAGATGGGTCACCAAGATACTAATCTTCAGAAACTAAAACCCTGGCAGGTAATTTATCTCCTATAGGATTAATTAAGTGGTACTAAGATATCAGAATAACAGAGTTGGAAGGGACTTTGGAGATCTTCTACTCTAACCTCCTGCTCAAGCAGGAAACCCTATACCATTTTAGACAAATAGTTGTCATGTCCTTTCTTAAAAGACTCTAGTGTTGGAGCCCCCATAACCACTGAATGCAAGCTGTTTCACTGGTTGATTGTTCTTGCTGTCAGGAAACTTCTTCTTAGTTCTAGGTTCATTCTGTCCTTGATTAGTTTCCATCCATTGCTTGTCTTGCCTTCAGTTGCTTTGGAGAATAGGTAGACTCTTTTTTCTTTGTGGCTGTCCCTCACATATTGGAACACTGCTATCATGTCACCCCTAATCATCAATATTAAGGATGAAATGATGTAACCTCCATAGGAACTGAAAATACTTTAATCCTATAGAAAACTCTGCTATAAGTTATGAATAGTGGATGTAGATTCACAATGCTTATTTATTATATTAATAATTTATTGGTTGTATATGGTGTCCTTTATTCAGAAGCTTTTCTTTATTCGAATCAGAAGCACCTTCAAATTATAGAGATATAACATTCAACACTGAGCAGGTACAATAGGTATAAAATGGGTCATAGAAACATAGCATGTGTAAAAAATATATAAAATAAATAGGATAAATGACATTCTCCCAGTGTCATGACACACTGACAATATTTTCTTTCGCCAGCGTGAAGTCATCCTCCACAGCTGTTGAAGGACATTATATGTAGCATAACATATGTGAGATGGGTTGTTCTTCTCCATATTCCCACAGATTATCTTCTACAGGGATGTCCCATTCTCTTAGATTGTCCTTTGAACTTCCTGTTTCGGCACACGGTCCCATTCAGAAGCTAAATGCAACATTATGTTCCTTCCTCCAATTTATCTTAACAACATTGCTCAAACTGACATGCAGAGGGATTAGCTCAGTCACCCAATGTGCTTCCAAAGGTTCAAGTAAATCAGGTCTTCCCAATCTTGTCCCAAAGTTTAACCATATAGGATCCTGACTTGTCTTCAAAAGTACCAATAGCTCTTTAGCAGATTACCTTTTATGGATCTATAGAATGTAGTGTGGGAATTTAGTCTGGTTTCTGAGAAATAAAAATGTGATCAACAATTAATTCATGTAAACATTAATACAGCTTACAATGTACAGAATATCAATAAAACAATAAAAAATATATAGGGCATTATACTATAAATCATTATTTTATTTTATTTTTTTTTAAAAAAAAAACCCTGCCACATAGAAAACCGAAGGTGACTAATGTTTTTCCCCTGCTTATAACTAGCTTCATCTATTTCTTCAAGACATTTCGTTCAATAATTCTGCCGCAGATACTGTCTTCCTGGATAAGCATGGAGAAATGCCAACTGGTCTTGAAATTACAAACTTGGTTGTCTTTCCAAACAACTCCTTCCGCGGGGTTAAAATTGGAAGGGTAAATCCTTACACTTCTGATGGGAGATATTTAACTGTAGATGAGGATAAAATGGTTTGGCACCAAGGATTTAACCAGGTGAAGTATAGTAGATTCCAGAGGTTCCTAAATTCTCATGTATCCTTATGTTCATTTTCAGAGACAGAAACAATTCTGGATATATCCATCCATAACAGAATAACAGATTGGAAGGAACATTAGAGGTCTTCTAGTCCAACCCCTTGCTCAAGCAGGAGATCCTATACCTTTGCAGACAAGTGGGTGTTTATTTTCTTCTTAAAAGCCTCCAGTGATGGAGCACCCACATCTTCTGAAAGCAACTTGTTTCACTGATTAATTGTTCTCACTCTCAGGACATTTCTCCTTAGTTCTAAGTTGCTTCTCTCCTCGATTAGTTTCCATCCATTCATGTCTTGCCTTCTGTGCTTTGTAAACTAGATTTATTTCTCCAAGAAATAAAAACCAGACCTGAAACTACATACCAGAAAGGGTCTCATAATACTACCAGTTTGTTGCTCGTGATTTATTAGATTCCATCAGGAATACCCTAGCCTTTTGTTATAAGGTAGAACAAGAAGCAATGAATCAAAACTAGTCAAGAAGAGAACCAAACAACCAACCTAGAACTAAGGAGAAATTTCCTTACAATTAGAACAATTAATCAGTGGAATAACTTGCCCCCAGAAGTTGTGGATGCTCCATCACTGGAGGTTTTGTTTGAAATGGTATAGGATCTCTTTCTTTGCCAGGGGTTTGGACTAGAAGACCTCAAAGGTCCATTCCAACTCTGTTATTCTGTTTGGTTAGTCTTTCCTATATCTATCTTCTTTCCTACCATTGACAGCAGAAGAGTAACTGAGTCCACATTTTTGTTTTATAGTTATACCTTATTTACTTTTATTTTATTTGGCACTTGGAATCATGTTTAGGAAGATAGAAAGCCATTGATGCAGTGATAAATTGATTAAAATACAACAAAATACAAGTTATGTAAAATTATGACTCTATGGATTTATCTGCTGCATTTCTTCCTAGGCATGTCGGCGCCATGGGTGTCTAGTTACCTATGATTTATACTGGTTTATCTCTTTTAATTCGTTAGAAGAAACCACAATTGCAGGGGAAAGAATATTACACTATAAAATTTTTGTGCTAGTAAATGAGGAATAGTTGTATCTCTATTTCCTTTTTTAGCTATATCTGCTCAGTCAATAGTAGCTGTCTGAAAATTGTAAAAATGAAATACTATTCTTCACCATTTGTCCAGTCCTGAAACCCTTTTTCTTTTTTGGTTAGATACGGCCCATTTCTGTATGTAACCCTGCCTGTCTGCCTGGTTATCGAAAAGAAAAGAACGAAGGAGAGAAATTTTGTTGTTACAGTTGTGTTCATTGCCCAGAAGGGAAGATTTCAAACCAGAAAGGTAAGAAATTTCTAAATATAGGTAGCCTCTCCATTCTACTCTTCCAAGGAAATGCCTACTTCATTTCAATGGTATTAATATGTAGGAAGGGGAGGGGAGAAGGGGAAAGTGTACTGGAGAAAACCAGCCAGGGTAAATATCTGTCTACAATTTGAGCACCACATTTCCAGCAGGTTATTGACAGGCTGGAGAAGTCTTAGAATAAAGATATAATGAGGATACAGGGACTTGAGGACGCCTTCTGAGAAGAGGGGATAGACTAGAAACCTGGATGAATTACAATTAATCCTCAACTTACAACCACAATTGAGCCCAAAATCTCTGTTGCTAAACAAAACATTTGTGAAGTGAGTTTTGCCCCATTTGCAACAATTCTTGCCACAGTGGGTACTGTAAGTGAATCAGTGAAGTTGTTAAGTTAGTAACATGGTTGTTAATTGAATCTGGGTTCCCCCACTGACTTTGCTTTTAAGAAGGTTGCAAAAGGGGATTGGGGGACACTCAACCATCAGAAATATGAGTCAGTCGCCAAGAGTCTGGATTCTGGTCACGTGACCATGGGGATACTCCAAAAGTCAGAAGTGTGAAAAAAGATAATAACTCACTTTTTTCAGTGCCATTGTAACTTTGAATGATCATTAAATGAACTGTTGTAGGACTACCTGTATAGCAAATGTTTGGGCCGATAAAGGACTGACCAATGGAGAAAGAAACCAGAAAATGTATGACTTCTTGTTATTTTCCTCAGATATGAATGACTGCTTCAAATGTCCAGAGGATCAATATCCAAGCAGACACCATGACCACTGCATTCTCAAAACTATGATTTTCCTATCTTATCAAGATCCTTTAGGGGCTTGTTTAGCATCTCTTGCTCTATTTTTTTCTCTCCTCACGCTTTTCTTGCTAGGAATTTTCATAAAGCACAAAGATACGCCGATTGTCAAAGCGAACAATAGAGAACTCACTTACACCCTCCTTGGGTTCCTCCTTCTTTGTTTTCTCTGCTCTTTTTTATTCATTGGACAACCTGGGACAATAACCTGCCTACTCCAGCAAGCAACGTTTGGCTTCATCTTCTCAGCAGTGGTATCCTGCCTCTTGGCCAAAAACATCACGGTTGTTGTGGCTTTCATGGCCACCAAACCAGGATCCAGCCTGAGAAAGTGGGTGGGGAAAAGATTGGCCAGAGGTATAATTCTTTCTTGCTCCCTTTTGCAAGCAGCTATCTGTGTAGTATGGTTGGCCATCTCTCCTCCTTTCCCAGATCTGGACCATAACACTCTAATCACTGAAATTATAGTCAAATGCAATGAAGGTTCTTCCAACATGTTTTATTTTGTCTTGGGTTACCTGGGCCTTTTGTCCATCATCAGTTTCATAGTGGCTTTCCAGACTAGGAAGTTGCCAGATAGCTTCAATGAAGCCAAGTTTATCAGCTTCAGCATGTTGATTTTTTGCGCTGTGTGGTTTTCTTTCATTCCAGCCTACTTGAGCATCAAAGGGAAGTATACAGTAGCTCTGGAGATCTTCTCCATTTTAGCTTCCACTTTTGGACTATTTGGTTGTATATTTTTCCCCAAATTTTATATTATTGTGCTGCGGCCTGAGTTGAATTCCAAGGAGAACTTAATAAAAATGAAGACTTAAACACCTTTCATTTGTGTCCCTTTATTTTGAAAGATTGGACTCTACAAGGAGATAATGTAGGTATCATGGTTGCCATTTTGCTAAGCTATACATTGCAAACTGACAGCCTGACATCAGTAACAGGGGGAGGGAGCAGTGGAGGTAGGGACACAGGGAAGGCACCAAAGATTTTCAAAACCAAGCAATACTGTCCCTTGAGAAGCATCAGTTATCTCAATGCCATACTAAAAGAATGTGGAATGGTCAGCACGCAAAGACAGGAACTGTTTCCCAAACAGGTTGTTAATACCCAGTTGGACATTGACTGATAACCAAGGGATTGGCAGGAAGCAAGGGAATGTTAACTGTATCTTTTGTGCACAAAAATCTCAGATCCAGCTTTGCCACTTCTGAAACCACTTTGGCTTTGGTGAAGTGTGCTTTTGGCTAGTCATGGGCTGGGAGTCTTTCTTTACTGGCTGACCAAGTTGGGACAGTTGACAGAAGGGCTGAATGCAGATGAGGAATGAAGGCAATTAACTGAAAAAAAGATGCTCATTCAAGAATGAGTATGATCAACCACCAAGAGCAATAAGGAATGTTCATAATGACTATTGCCTCATTTTTTTTCTATCTCTATCTCTCCATCCCTCCCAAACTCACCATTCATCTGAAAAAGCTATATGGAGTTCACAAATAGTGGTTTCATTTAACGGTGGTCAGAGTAGAAATATTTATATAGATTAATAAAGTCAGTTTAATAAACACAATAGAGTTATCCTTTCCTCCATCTATGCTAGTCACAGGACAACTATAATACACTTTCATCAGCACAAAATGTAGATTATTGTCACTTGAGATCACTTTACAGAGATTTGATAAATTCACAAAGGATACATGCAACAGTGGCTAATATTTCATGAAAATATCATTCAGCCAAATGAAAAAATTGTTCAAAACCATATCAGCTTAGCTCAAGTTGGGGCTTCCCTTAGAGCAGTGGTGCCGAACCTATGGCATGGGTACGAGAGGCGGCCCTCCGAGCCCTTTATGTGGGCACACGTGCCATTGCCCCAACCTTGCCTCCCCCTGCGACTCCCTCCTCTCCAGCGGCCCCCCTGAAGGAGAGTCGTCCTCGAGCATGGCCCACATGGAGCAGCGCAGACAAGGACATGGCAGCCACACAGAATAGAAAAGACTCTGCCCTCACACCCCATCATGCAGTTGATGCTGCAGGGGCACGGGCAGAGGGTGTGGCTGTCATAGCGCTGCTGGGCTGCCTAGGCAATCTGCGGCGGGCTGTGGAGGCAATGAGTGGTCCTGTGGGCAGGGGGGGGCAGGGAATGGGAGGGCAGAGCAGGGGCAGGGTGGAGTGGAGGCGGGGCCAGTTTTTGGGCACTCAGTCTCTAAAACTTTCACCTTCACTGCCTTAGAGAATATTCAGAAAATACAGTAGGTTCAAATTGCATCCCTCAGGCTCCTGACAACATAATACAAGTTTTGCAAAGGTCTCTAATTGGTTTCCAGATCCAATTTAAGGCACAATTCTGACCTATAATGCCCTCCATGAAATGGCATCCAGATAGGTATGGACAAGCTTTTCTGGCCAGATTTGGCTCTATCAATTAGATTAACCTAGTGAAAATTTGTTGACAATCCCTTATTCTAAAGAGGTTTGGAGAGTTTAGGTAAGGAGAGAATATTGCAGAACTAAAACTGTAGAATAGTTTTGTTGGCCTATGAAAACTGTTGAAAACCCAGATGTTTTGGAGAATCTTTTTGCATATTTGATTTGATTTGATCTTGTCATCTCTCCTATCTCAGATCCCACACATGACATGATCAGTTGCACATTCAGTTGCAAGAAACCTCAAAATCAAAGTGACAAGAGTTTCAGGAGCACAATAATGGTTCAACTGCAACAAGGGAAACAGACTAGCTGTGGCTTATAAATAGAATTCATGTGTCAACACTGCAAATACTGTATATTCTTGCTTTGAAAATATGCAGAACTGTCTGGTATTTTGGGGGTTAATACAGAGCAAAAGAAGGTGGGGGTAAAGCCCAGGAAAGAAAGAGGAAGGGAACCTTTGACCTTCACACTAATTGGATAATGTGATATAAGACAACTAATTTAGGGAGGGAACATGCTGATAATTTAACTGCTCAGAGGAAGAGAACTTAGATCTTAGCATAGACCCCATTAGGCCTGTGCCGACATTTTGAATCAATAAAAGACTTTTAGGGAAATCAATGCCTGGAAGTTCTTTGAAGTGTTTCATTAGCCGGAACGATAACAACAAGTTGGTGAGCCTAATCAATGCTTGGAAAACATCTGGTGTTTAACTAGTCAGTAGTCAGACCATTCTGCTTTTTTCCCCCATTACATAAACCCTACTCACATGAGGGACCATGTTAGGCAGAGCTGGATATAACCTAATATTCTGAGTGTATCATCTTTGTATTGCTGTAATGTTTTTATAGTTCTCTTGGATATGCTTTATATTGTATTTTTTCTATGTGAGCTGCTGAGAATTGTGATACAATATGATATGGGATAAATATCAACTGAAAACTATCTGTTTCTTAAGAGAATTCCTGAAGAAAATAATAATTTATCCATGAGTGATTTAGGGCCACCAGTAGAGAAATGATATGACCTCTTTAGAGCAAGGATGCTAGATAAGATGGGTATTTGGTCTCAACTAAAATGACTCTCTAATTAAAATTGTATCTCTAGTCAAAATGTATTGACTGTGAATATCATGCTTTTTGCAAAATACATGAATGTATATGTGAATGACAAATTACTCAGTCATTTTCCTTATTAAGTGTTCCCTGTTGTTTACTTTAGGTCTAAATACAATGATATAGCATTTAGGGAAAAAGATACAGCCTAGGAGCCCAGCACAAGAACATGAGATGGAGACGATCTCCACAGCCACCATGGCTTTTCCTCTAGTGCTTCCTCTAGAAGACCCACACACTACAGAAGGCCAACATGCTAAAGGTGATGAACTTGGCTTCATTAAAGCTGTCAGGCAGTTTACGAGCATGTAAAGCTACAATGAAGCTGGCAAGGGCCAAGAGACCCAGATAGCCCAGAATCTAGTAAAACATGGAGACTGATCCTTCATTACATGGTCTATATGGGTCGGACATGACTTCGCAACTTCCTTCCTTCCTTCCTCTGGATTCACCTTCAGTGACCATTGAATGAATAATAACAGATGAAGCAAGCTCCTGGGAAAAGCTCGGAATGAATTTTGTATATAGGTATCTCCCGTCTCTCCAATTTACTACTCGGATAGTCAAGGGACACTTCACCATCTCCAGAGATGATTCTCGCAGCCACCTTCATCTGCAAATGAACAGCCTGAACCCAGAGGATTCAACACTTTGTTACTGTGGAAGAGTCACAGTAAGAGGAAGTGACTATAAAACCAAGCAAAACCTTTTTTTTCTTCTAATAAACTCTCTTAGCATGCCTCCGCTGTAGAGTTTCCAGTGGATTAGCCTTCAAAGAAAAGTGACAGGAAATCTTCATCTCCTACAACTGAAGCTAATGAGGTCTATTATTAATATTTCAAATAATAATAATAATAATAATAAAGTTGGAAGGGACCTTGGAGGTCATCAAGTCCAACCCTCTACTCAGGTAGGTAACCCTATACCATTTTCAGACAAACTACATATTCACCTAAAGCCCTCTTTTCTTTGGGCCTCTCCAAAGTGACTTTGAGCAGTCACTCTGAGACTAGCCTATGAACAATTTTTATTTGGATAAGACAAGTAGAAATAGGAAGGACTACACATGCTGCTGTAAGCTCCTCAATGAAAATTTAGGAGTCAGAATTTAAATTTAATCAATCAACCAATCAACCAATGCAAACGCGTGTGCATGAGATCAGATTCCATAAAATAATTCATTGCATTAATTTCAGAAAAATGAAATGCATACAAAATGAGGCAGAGTTTCACCAAATGATATCTAGAGCATTGGAATGACACAAACAAAGTGCAAATATTTCTGACCAATCTTTATGATTGCAAATTGAAAACAGGGGTTGTTTTAAACTTTTAATTTATCTCTCTAAACAGTCTTACATTAAGCAGCTTTTTCCTTTCATCCTTGTCTGTTTAACAACACAATAAAATAAAGGTTAGAACAATACATATGTTTAGTTATCACGGGTCAACTGCTCTTTTATCCTGTAGCATATGCAAATATGTTGGCAGTTTTCTCTACAGCCTTGGCATATAGTTTCTCTGCCCCAGTTAGCATAAGCTGTTGTGCCTCTGATTCTTTTATCACTCTACAGCAGAGCAAAAATAGGGTAAAAAATGATTTGGTTTCTCCTCTGTTTCTCCATTCTCCAAGGTAATTTATGTTTGTTCAGCAGGAATGATGCATGATAACTTTGAATCTTCCAGAAACATTTTTTTACATAAATTATTTGTTCCAAGGATGCAATTGATCAAATTGGAGGAGTCTGGAGGGGCTGTGAGAAGACCTGGAGAATCTTTCCATCTGTCCTGCCAAGCCCTTGGATTCACCTTCAGCAGCTACTACATGGAGTGGGTGAGACAGGCTCCAGGGAAAGGACTGGAATGGGTGGCCCGCATAAGTACAGGATCATCTAGCACTTACTATTCAAATAATGTGAAGGGACGCTTCATCATCTCCAGAGATGATTCCAATAGTCTGTTGTATTTGCAAATGAACAACCTCAAGCCAGAAGACACAGCAGTTTATTACTGTGCAAGAGACACAGAGAAAGGAAGTGAATCTGAAGCCAAGCAAAAACTTTTTTCAGTTCCAGAAAATTCTGTGCTCTGCTACATTTCTTGGGTCTTAAAAAGATAACATAAGATAACATAACATACACTTAAGAGAGGGCTGTAAAGCATTATGAAGCAGTATATAAGGCCTAAGTGCTAGTGCTAGTGCCATTCAGGTTCTATGGATATAGTTATCAGGGGCCTCATTTTGCTATATTGTTTGTAAAACCAGATTCATT